ATGGAAGAACGAGTGTGTTCTTACGAATTGTTTTTGGGAGCATAACGGAGGAGCATGTTGGCGGATTCCGATCGCTTCCACCGTGGCCAGAAGGTGAACTAAGTAGATGGGTCGAAACGCCTCCGCCACATCAACCACGTGGTTTGACTCCACTAGGTGTGGAGCGATTAAACTGTTGATGGCCCTAATTACTCTACTATTCAATCAGACCAGGTAGTTCTCGCGGACTCGTCCAGATGAACGTCTGCTCGTGCGGCCAGTATGACTTGTCCCACAAGAACTAATGAACAGGTGCATACAGAAAGAGACTGCAGAAACAGGCAATGTATCATTGAGTTGAAAGCGACATATTGGCCTGGAGATGAATAAAATGTAAAGTTTTGCTGCGAGAAATGCTTTTTTCTATAACTGCTTTCCGCTTACGAGTCACCAGCTCGGCAATTGTGTCGCCCTTAAAAGGTAGTGACATGTAAACAGGTTTCTTCTCAGCGGTAGTGATCTTATTTGGCAACCGGTAACGCCTCAAAGTGTTGTCCACGAATAGTTCGAGGTATCCATTGCGAAGGACAGCTTCTCGGATAAACCTTAGCTTGCTCTAAATGGTATCTCCAGTACACATTCTCCGAACTCTGGTAGCTAGGCCCTGAGTTAGGTATCTTTTTCTTTCCAGTGGCACACAGCTTTTGAAATTGACATACTGACTATTCCCCGATGGCTATCTGTGGATCGTACGCTAGACAGATCCGTCTGATTTACGACTTAGAAGAACGTCCAGAAACGCAATCTGCTCATTCTGTTCGTTCTCTTAAGTGAAATTTATATTTGGATTTGCAGAGTTGAATACTTTTAACAGTATTGACAATCACATTATCGTCGACAAAACACAAAATGTCATCCACGTATCACTTGTATAATGCACATCGATCTACTGTTTGTTTGAGGATGTTATTCACCGGCTTATCCATGAAGACATCTGCGAAAAGTGGACTCACGGGAGATCTCATTGCTACCCCATTTATTTGACTGCAAACTTCGTCGTTCAATTGTATGTTGTGTATACACAGACACAGCAATTGCTTGAGATCACTAACGATTCCCAAAGTTGTCTGTTTTATCTTCCTCCTTTCAGTTTCTATATTTTGCGGTAAATCCATGGTTATTTTGGTGACGTATCTGTAAACATCGCTGAAGATTGACTGAAAGCCTGTATATACCTCGGTTAACCTTCAGTGCAATACAATACAACACTATATATACATATGGGGAGGGAAACTTCAAATAACTGATTATCAGTGTTGAGATTCACTTTGAGGCCGGATATGAAGTTTAAAGCGACCACACACTGACTTCATCCAGTGGTGGAAATTATTCTCCATTGTGTGTGTGTGTGCAGTGAGCCAGGGAAGCTTAGGCGACAGAACAATTCGTTTTTGGTCAAGCAGATCCGAAATCTTCAGCTGCCTACAACATAACACGAGAAGCGCAATACGTGGGTCAAACTGCCCAGGTCACTCTCATACGAGGGTCCTGTTCCATCTAGATGTTGGACCACAGGATAACTTTCACGTATCCGTTCGGACGATCCCCCGTCAGTGTGGTTCGCATTGTTTCTTCCGCAAGAACAATTGAATGAGTGTATATTGAGACGGGAAAATTTTGAATCCGGGTGACCGATTGATCGAAACGAGAATCTCCCGAAGGATATTGGAAACAAATGACTAATTTCCCATTGGGTTTTTCTGGTTCGCTATTAAAATGGACAGTGATGACCACAAATTTCACTAATCGTTTGTGTGACCGCGCGTTTGATTATGAAGGATTGAGTCAAACCTTCTCATTGCCAGTTCGTTTCATACTAGTTCATCTGAAATCCCCGGAATCACTGTCCCCCAACAGGACACCATCAAATATTCAGGTCAGCTAAAGACCCCCTGTAAATGTGATTTCGATACCCAGAAGATATTTGCTTCAGGAAACAAAGAATACAGAGGAAGATTTATCTACCACTTGCTGTTGTTGTTTTCAACATGTGAGGATGGAAAATCACTTATTGGAACGGTCAATATTACAACGATCAATATTATGCAACGTTGCCTCACTGGTTTGAACTGTTGACGACATAAGAACACAGAGTGGAATGAACGGGACAGCTATCTATTTATTATTTTTGCAATATCCATTCATAGCACGCAACGATGCCAGTTGAATTGCTTTGAATTGATAATATTTTTTATTGTCCAAATCGTTGTTTGACAGATTGAAGTCTTCATGTCGAGATTGTGAAAAGTTCATCAGCCTCGGTAGGATTCGAACCCACGCATGGATGCCACCTAAATTTTTGTACAGTACACACTCTACCAGCTACTTAACTTTGCACAATTTCG